GTAAGGGCTATCAAATTATCAGTATCTGTGATTATATATTTACATTGTTAGTTAAGAGCTATCAAATTACCAGTATGTGTGATTCTATATTTACATTGTTAGTTAAGGGCTATCAAATTACCAGTATGTGTGATTCTATATTTACATTGTTAGTTAAGAGCTATCAAATTACCAGTATCTGTGATTCTATATTTACATTGTTAGTTAAGGGTTATCAAATTACCAGTATCTGTGATTCTATATTTACATTGTTAGTTGAGGGCTATCAAATTATCAGTATCTCTGATTCTATATTTACATTGTCAGTTAAGGGTTATCAAATTACCAGTATCTGTGATTCTATATTTACATTGTTAGTTGAGGGCTATCAAATTATCAGTATCTCTGATTCTATATTTACATTGTCAGTTAAGGGTTATCAACTTACCAGTATCTGTTATTCTATATTTGCATTGTCAGTTAAGGGCTATCAAATTATCAGTATCTCTGATTCTATATTTACATTGTTAGTTAATGTTTTTTATATATGCCAAACCAGCGGGTTGAATTTAACAAAGGAACTTGTGTCTTTAATAGCTACTTTTGCATTACCTATTACATTCGGAAGAATTTTCTCTCATAGTAACATTCGAAGTATTTTGATCATCAGCTGTATGTCCTTACATGAAACAGCTTTCCTAGGCATCAGAACAGGAAGGCTATGGTCCTCATCGTCAGATAGGTGGGAGGCCAGTACCTACTATACACACATAAATCATAGGTTTATTATTTTCCCATCTTCAGTTGAGTTTGGGGTTCAAAGTAATGACTCGTTATAAACAATGAATTTAGCATCTGAAATCCAAGATTCAGTTCGTCGCGGTGGACACCGCAGATAGCCTAACGTGGCTTTGCTGTAAGATAAAGAAACAATAAAATACGTATACTAAAAATGATTGACTGTTGCATTATAATGCTCCCACGACTGACAAGGCGAGCATGTTCGGTGACAGGGTTCGATCCCGCGACCCGCAGATTGAGAGTCAAGGTAATGGCCACGCATATTACGTAATACAAGTTCTGGCTCCCCAACTCTATAAAACCGCCTTCTCCGTGATTTTAGCTATTTCTGTCAATAGAGATGGCCGAGAAATGCTCAACGAAGCTTACCTACCGCTGTTGTAAGGTGCCTAAGAGTGGTGCCTGTCCGAACATGAACACTTCAGTAGTTTTTCTCAAAAAGAACGTAGTCCAGCCAACTCCTTAAGCTACACATCTTCGTGGCTGAACACTATTGAGACGTGATTTGTTTTCGTGGTAAAGTGTTTTAGAGTTTAACATAGAGTCCTTTATCGGAGTATCTTTTTTTTTTTGTTCTGACTTGAATACCGGAAACCCTTCTATAGCCCACCCAATCCCCTTAAATTCGGTTTCATCGACTAGCAAATTGGTTAAGATTAAAACAGCAACTCTTTTAATATGATCCCACTTGCAGATAGATTACGCAAAGCAAATAAAGCTTAACAGTAGTAAATGATGAATTAGAAACTGTATTAAGATACTATTACGATAGCACTTGTTTAACCGAAAATTTGTACAAAATATTGCTACAAAAGCACTTGCTTAACCATAAAACTGTACAAGGTACTGTTACAAAAATTTATTTAACATGTTTGACCCAGAAAATTAGATTAGTAGCTGTTCCAACCCTGTATCAAAAAATGAAAAAAATAAAAAATACTACGTTTCGTAAAAAGAAGGAAATTATTTTGAATATTTGGTATGTACAGTCTGAATTTCTTAGTGTCCACCAATTCGAAGCTACCTATTTCATCCCTTACTGTACAATGACACATCCATCTGTGATCATTACTAACTGTCATAGTAACCTTGTAAGGTGTCAGGGTCAATTTGCTTAGTCCATTGTATAAGTAGGTAATCAGTTTCTATTGGTCTGGCATGGCCAGGTGGTTAGGGCGCTCGATTCGCAACCTGAGGGTCGCGGGTTTGCTTCCCCCGTTCCACCAAACATGCTAGACCTTTCAGCCGTGGGGGCGTTATAACGTGATGGTCAATCCCACTATTCGTTGGTAAAATAGTAGCCCAAGAGTTGGTGGTGGATGGTGATGACTAGCTGCCTTCCCTCTAGTCATTCACTGCTAAATTAGGGACGGCTAGTGCAGATAGCCCTCGTGTATCTTTGCGCGAAATTCAAAACAAAACAAATCATTTTGTATCGTGAAAAATTATTTGTTTACGAAGGTGTATATGCAGTCACTCCATATTATAAAAACATATGAAGTCGAAAAAAAAAGTACGAATTTATGAATAAATGGGAACTTTCAAAATCCCTGAAGGAGATAAAACACATTCATAACCACACTGTCTTGTCAGTTTTTTATTGTGATCATGTCTATCTAAAATGGTTCCTCTTTGGTTTGATGCTAGTTAGAATTTAATAAGACTACTAAAAGACAACATTTGGAATCTAAATTTGTTTGAATAATTAGAAATAACTTTTTCCTCCAAATGAAAAGCATGAATATGTTACTAGATTACTACTGTATAAGAAACTTGTAAATTTCTAAACATATATAGGTCTCTGAAAAGGTGCCAAAGATCATAGCCTACTTAATAGACCACTGTCCAACCCTCTTTGGAGAAGATTCAATTCACCTGTTTGATAGTTATTTGGACAAGGATATTTCAAGGCCAGACTCAGGAGCAGAAGAATCTGATAGCCTACACAGCGCTCAAGGAATCGGAGGTAGTTGTTTTACTGTGATTCCTCGAATTCTCTTTTCTGCATGCTTACACCCACAGGGTTTGGCTCACTGTAAAGGTTCTTCTGATTGGACATTTAACATTTCAGATTTAACCAAGAGGTATTCCAATATGTCCAAAATGTTTGAAGTATCCGTAGCAATTTTAGAAATTAAACAAAGTCGCATAAATAATTTGTTTTATGTTCTTATCTAGATAAAATAATTTATTTTCAAGTACGTTGTGCTGCTATATGATGATAAAGATGTTACTGAAACTAGTCGGCTGTAACTAATAATAAATATTTTACCTTTCATTGTGTGAAAATCCTCGGGTTTTACTCTTAATACTATATGAAATGTCTAGTTCAAATCGTCCACTTTTAGTTTTACTACATCACTACATATTCTCTTTTGTTTGCAATAACCTAGTAAAATGTCCGTTTACTGAGCACTTAATGTTGTTTGAAAAACGTTCCAGCTTTTTTCCTGAATATTTCTTTTTTTTTTCAGGATATCGACAAGATAGCGATTCTATTGACAGTTTGGAGCGAGATTTAGAAGGTAGTGAGCCCAGTCCTAAACTACCTAACAAGAATAAGACATCTCTTACCAACTTGAGTCGGGACTCTGGTTTAACTCTCAGTGACACTCAATTATACACACCAGAAGAAGAGATGGACAGTGAGTTGTCTAACTCAGGAGAATCCTGTCGTAGTGGGGTGAACCGCCTGTTAACGAAAAGTACCCCTCATCTGGACTCTGTTGGTTTAGACAATGGTCATACTTGGGGTAAGAATGTAGGCGTGAGCATCGATGGCTCCTGCAATGACGTCATGAGAAAACGTCGTTTAGGGTTGGAATGTTCACGTTCTCGTGCCATGAACAGCAGTGCAGGAAATGTCAAAAGTGTGAATCAAATGAAGCCACACCAACCTCTCCAATACTCTAAATCTTACACTTACAAAGGACAAGATGAGTCAGTATATAATTCGAGTAATTGCAACTTTAATGTTATGATAAACCACATGAAAAATAGAGATCTCTCTAGGCAGTCTGTACACATGTCAGCTGACCACATAGGCGAGTTTCATTCTACTCTTTCTTTACGCCGTAGTGCTTCAGAAGAGAGCGTAGCACAGTCGCATACAAGTCAGTTTTCAACAAAACGTCCTGCCAACCATCAAAAAGGTCCAGCTCCTTCCCCTCCAGCTAAACAAACTCTTAAGATGGAGAATGGTAGTACTGTTATCTCAGCATCCTGGAATACTGAATACAAGTGGTCACCTTATCAAACAACAAAGGCCAAAGACTGGAAACGTAGTCAGTCGACTTCTAAAATTGATGAAATTGATCATTCACATGAATCGAGCACGCTATCTTTGGTTTCCAGTGATGACAGCACTCCCCACGTATCGCGGAGCAACTCACGGGTACAGGAAATATCATTATGGAAGAAAAATATTAATTACTCGGTTCAAAAGAAATCGACCCGAGTCAGTAGCGTGTGTAGTTCATCATCTGAAACTAGCCAACAGACTCAGGTGTCTCAGGGATCAAATGAATCGCACAGGTCACAGTGTTCTCTTGGATCACAAGGATCCCATGTATCGACTAGGTCAAAGGGATCAAACAGGTCATCTAGGTCACACAGCTCGGACAGTTTGACCTGTAATGAAAGGCATACACCCACCCACAAGCCCACCGAGCCACCAAGTTACAGAGAAGCCATCAATAGGAGAACTCGCCTACGTACGCAAGTAATTGAGCAGAAGACGTTGAGTGCGAGAGCCAGGAAGTTGTATGAAGAATCTGTGCGTATCTACAACGAGCAGGCAGAGACGGTTGGAGAGACCCACCACGCCGTGCCAGTTAAAGTAGACAGTGGTGATGAGGGACTCTTGGAACCACCACCACTACCACCCAAACCGTTACTTAGAACATCTAGTGAAGGTGCTGCTCTTCACTTGCGTCACTTACCTCCTGTTCAAGTGAATGAAAGTCACATTTTCAGTCAAACTCACTGGCCAAGAAAAACTCTGTCACGTGCAAACCCCCCTCACGAGTGGCAAAATGAGATTAGCTGGAGCGTGTCGCAGTTGCGTGAACTTTTTAGTTCTCAATCTCTTCAGAAATCGTGGTCTTACGAAGAGACTTCAGTGGACCATCGCCAACCTCCTCCCTACCGCCTACCACCCCATGTGCCTAAAATGAACAACGAAGGTTGTGTGACTGTTGTGAGAGTTGGTTGTAATAGCAGAGGTCAAGATCCTGTGATCACCGTTCATAAAAGATCAGACTCAGTAAGCACGTGCAGTAGTAGCACAGGTGGAGAGGAATCATATGTTTAATTACCGAAATATTTCTCTCTGTACAAAGTGCACTATACAGACAGCCCTTGTTTCGCGTAAGGTGACCAAATCGATCAATACTGTAAACTGTAACCTACTCTAACGGCATTTAAACAAATCGACATTTTATACTTCGCAGAGATGTAATCACTTCACCATTATTATTTTGTACTTCGTTACATTTATAGTAGTGAGCCAGAACATCCAGGATAAATAGAGAATCAATTTAGTACAAGTTTAATACAAGTGTTATAAAAAAAAGTGTTAATTCGGAACTATCTTGATAAGAGACCCCCTTTTTTTACGAATGTTTTTGCGAACAACAATAAAAATTGTTGATTATTGTTGGTAGCCACGGGTAATATACTGGAGTGATGCCAGAGTTGTGTATATAAATATATGAAAAAAATCAATCATTTTTTTCATGTTTCTTTCCAGGAAATCTATGAAACCCATCATCATCATTGTTATTAATTGAAATCGCTTTAACTGTTGATACTAGTTGTAAGAGAAAGTATCTCAGAAAAAAAAAAGCTTGAAATTCATTTCATTTCTAATTGATTTATTTTACATAATTAATAACATAACCGTGAAAACGATTCAAACGTTTGATGTGTCTATGTGCATATTGATCCAGTGTGCAGAATTTATTTATTTATTCAATCCCTTTTTCAAAAAAATATAATAATAAGTACGGTTTAAATTTATCGCCTTCATCGCTTAGTTTTAAAATTATTTATTAAAACTTATAAAAACCACGTGCTTTACAATAATTCTCAACTCAGAATTGATATCTGACAGCTGAGAGTAACATCATTAGAAGTTTAGACAACCTGTCTAGTGATTTTACAGATATTTCAAACCCGACATTAGAAATGTTACACATTGTAATTTTTTCTGTAGTCTAAAATCACACCTTGTAAACCAAATCTGTTTCAACAAGAAGTTTAAGCATGTTAAATGATGAAAGAGCCTAAAGCTTACAAGTTTCGTATAACAGTGGCTTGATTTGTAGCTGAGGCAGTATAATATAATAATTATTTGATGCGCGATTCGATACCACATCCCGCTGTAGTATAACAAGTAGTTGCTACGTGTTGCAAAACATATTTATGATGTTAAATTTATTTGCTGTTAAAATGCGAAACATCATATCGGTCCACAGTATAGGCTTACCAGATGTATATATATATATATATATATATATGTAGAATGCCACTTTCATATGCCAGGTGTCACTGCCTTAGAAGTTCTTCATCAAGTAGACTGGCTATGAGAAGATATAGATTATGAAATGATAACATGTAACTGGTTTGAAATGCACAATGAGAAGAAACTTTTACGATTTATCACAATGTTTCACGACATTACTTTCGTTTAAACGATCAAAAAAATCTTTAAAAGTGGCACTTTATTAATATTGTGGCTAAACTAATACATTAAATAGAGTATCGATGTGTGTTATTTTGTATTCATTCAGAGAAACATTTTCAGAGGAGAAATATTATTCTAGAATATAAAACATAGAACATTTTAATTGAAACCCAATTAACCTTACGAACATACCACTCATAGCATTAAAAGGTTCACCTATAAATGTTATGAGTTAATTAATAAAGATTTTTGCTCAAAAATATCCAGGTTTTGTGTTCTGCATGTAGTTATTGAATAAATTTATGTATATAACTATCTGTGTTCTGTAGTTATGAACACGGGGGGTACTTGGTGCTAAATCGTATGTTAAATTATCTTGTAGCAGGTTGATTCCATTTTAATAATGTCAGTTAATTGATTAGTTTTGTTTTGAAGTGTTTATTGATTGATTGTGAGTGACAGTTTTTGCCAAAGGGTACCGACGACGGTGGACAACTCTACGACAGCATAGAAAAGCGCCAAAAGAATACAACGTTGTTTTATAATTAAGGTGTTCCATTTTTGTGTTGAAGATTATTCTAACACTAATAATTAGTGATCGAATATGTTTAAAGAATTGACTTATTTTAATTCATTGCACTTCATGACGTCATTCCTACTATCATATAGAGCCGATGTCCTAATGAAATAAAAAGTTTCAAGAAAGGTGTAACTGTTATTTCTCGCCGTGTTAAGCCTGCTATTTTTGTAATAACCAGAATATTTTGTGTGTATACAAGAAACATTGTAAAAAAGTAGGAAAAGGACAAAACAATCGAAGATGAAAGAATTTTCTTTTGTGATAACCTCAAACTACACGTGATCTTTATACAGTAAACTTGTGTTTAGCGTGGAATGAATGAGGTGCTTCAGTTTTGTTTTTCAATGGTTGTTTTTTTCTTACCTTCTTGCTCGAAGCATGATATATTATTCACTATTTACGCCATTTTATTGTACAGTCCCAGTTCTTTATTTACTAACACATGTACAGAAAATGTTGTAGTTAGTAAAAGAATGTTATAAATTTTGGACTTTTTTTTTTTCGTGCTCCATAGTTTCTCAAAGAAACAAAGATGTTTAACAGTTTTCGCCGCGGTACGTCGCTTCCTGTGTATTATTTTCAGTTAACTGGAAGTCAGTTCCAAATATGTTTGATATGTAACTTTTTTGTACTTGTATAAATCTCACTATTAGTATTAATTTCCTATCAGCGCAAGTTATGTACTTACAGCATTATTATAAAACCAACCTGGATATCGGTATAGCTAACTAAATATATATATATATTTGTTCTTACTTATAAAGAATAGAATACAGTGTTTTGTTGGTAGGGTATTTGTGCTGTTAACGATATCTTCGGTCGTAATCCCAACAATAATTTACGAGGTACGGCTAGCTTAGGAGATTTAGATTAGTTTTAAATACATATAATAAATCAACAATGCAAAAAAATCTTAATAATATATAGAATGTAATGGCATTCGGTATGATACATAGTAAATTAATGTAATAATAAGTAAATAATATACCTTACTTATCGAACACAAAATCATTGCATTCCTAACAACTGTATTTTTGTAAGGTATTAGTGTAGGCGGATGATTTTTTTTTATTAATTCATAAAGTTACTGCCATAATGGATAAGTAACTATGGAAAAACAACTATACACAATAATTATCGATATGTTAAACCAAACATAGAGTAATTAGAATATACATAATTGGACACTTTTATTTTAAATAACTTAATACTGGGAGTTAACCAATCATCTAATGAAATTCTATTTATAATATTCGGAGCCAAGTAATAAAAGTACGGAGCTAAAAACAGAATTACTTCGTGGACATATAGAGTTTTTGGTTGTTGATTTTAGCCGAAAGGAATATAAACTTTCTCAAAAAATAAGTTAGTTGTCCCTCATTTAACTCTCTTCTGTGCAGCACCAAAGCTCGTTGGTCTATGTGCCATACTTATGTACTTTTCACTTGTACTCGTATTCTGAAACAGATGAAACTTTCTCAAAAATAAGTTAGTTGCCCCTCGCTTAAGTTTCTTCTGTGCAGTACCAAAACTCGTTGGTCTATGTGCCATACTTATGTACTTTTCACTTGTACACGTATTCTGAAACAGATGAAATTTTCTCAAAAATAAGTTAGTTGCCCCTCGCTTAAGTTTCTTCTGTGCAGCACCAAAACTCGTTGGTCTATGTGCCATACTTATGTACTTTTCACTTGTACTCGTATTCTGAAACAGATGAAACTTTCTCAAAAATAAGTTAGTTGCCCCTCATTTAACCCTCTTCTGTGCAGCACCAAAACAATTAATATAACACTTTAGGCACCTAGAGTTTGAACTAATCTGTACTATCACTATCGTCTCTACTAAGAACTATACATTTTGTATATATATATAGAGAGAGAGAGAGTGAGGGTGAGAACGAAATCATTTCAAAGATTAAAATTAATCTTAAACACCTGTACTTGAAATTCGAAACGATATCTCTTAAGAAATGAAGTTCTGAAAAATTTTTAGATGGGTATTGTACTTTTTAAATAGCACATTCGAGCGTAAGTAACTGAGTAGGAATGTGTAACACCAGTATTAAAAAATCTTACCTCAATATTTTGTTTCGCGGCTTCCTAAGGAAATTAACAATACTTGAATACGTTGGTTTTGGACAAACGACAGTGATCGAATAGTTTAAACACTAGCATTAAACAATGACATTAATTTATTACAAGGCATAACCTGAAAAACTATTACTATATATTGAACTGTAAGCAACATTTTGTGCCAACATAACCAATATACTAAAGTACAGTTACATTAATATCACCAGTGAAATATGTTGTTGTTGTGTAGTTTTTAAGGGAAAGCCTCCAGTGGCACAGCGATAAGTATGTAGGTTTATAACGCTAATAACCGGGTTTCGATACCTGTAGTTGGCACAGCACTGATAGTCCATTGTGTAGCTTTATGCTTAACAATAAGTCACCACTTCTAAGGGAAACGCACAACAGCAAGTTGTGTAGTAAAAGAATTGTGGAAGGTTGGGAGCAAGCAAGAAAAAATAATCAAACTTTACATATAATATCTAAAGTAGACATCTAACTTCTCATTTCACTTTTTTTACACAACATAAATATTTAAGTATTGGAAAACTTTATAGTTAAGAAAGGGTTACATAACTGCTGTTATTTTACGAAGTATATTTTAAACTAGGCTCCAACTGGTTTATGGTGTAGAAACTAAGTAGTATAAGATAGATACAAGTGCATACATCAAATGGGTAGAAATACATTAACATAACCACATAACAAAGTTTGAAATTTTATTAGACAGCAAGCATGACTTCACACGAGGAAAGTTTCGAACTTCTTCAAAGATATTACTGCTTATGTTGATGAGAGTAAAGGTGTGTAATTAATTTACTTAGATCGTCAGAAAGTTTTGACAAAGCGACACATAAATGATTAACAAAGAAATCTCTGCAGATACGAGAGATAATTTAACTCAATAGATTAAGAGTTCGTTAGAGAAGAGGAAATGAAGTTTAGTCTAACTGGATTTGAGATGGTAGTGGGGTATCTCACGAATCTGTGCTGGGACCCTTTTATATATTAACGATATTAGCAATAATAGCATGGCCAACAAATTGGTTAAGTTTGCTTATGATATTAAAGTCTTGGATGTAGTTACCTGTGAGCAGGATGCTGTTGTTTTACAAAGGGATTTGGATCATTTGGCGAACTGGGCAAATATCACTTAATTATGCTAAGTGCAAGATGATGCATGTGGTATACCTTAACTTAAACTAATTATCACCTAGATGAAAATACGTACAATAATGCTATGAAAGAAAATGATCTTGTTATTTTGGTATATCAGCCACTTAAACTTTCAAGGCAGTTTGTCGCCAGTGGGAATGCAAACAGGATTACTGAATGCAAG